TCTGTGCAGGTGACCTGAGGGATTAAATGTATTAATACAGAGTTCTTTGAACATTGACTGGCACATAATAAGTACTCAACTATTGCTATTTATTATTACTACCTTTGAAAATCCACTTTAGTATTCTATGATTCCTCAATGAATCAAATTTCATTAAACAAAACACCTATTTGCATAGATTTTTTATTTTTATCAAATTTTTAGTTGAATGTTTAAATGCATATGTAACACTTTTTTTCATCTTATTAACCTTTTAGGTTGTTAAATTCTGTAATAAACAAAACCATAATGAAGAAGCTCCAAGCCTACAAAACAAAAAGTGCGAATTCAGAAGCACATGGGAGGTGATCAGCAATTCTGAGGATTTTAGAAACACCACACCTATGGTGGAATCACCCCCTTCACCTGTCTTCTCATTGCTGAGGATCAGAGATAGAATTGTGTGCTTGGTTCTTGATAAATCTGGAAGCATGGGGGTATGTTCATGGGCCCATTTTTCCTAAATATAGTGACTAATGGATGATTCAATGCCTAAGAACACTCTGAACTCTACGTTCACCTGGGTTGTTCTAAATTACATGGTGGGATAAGACCCATCATGTCCTATGATTACGACCTCAGGATGGGCAGTGAATATTGTAATGAAAGCAGGATGACAATACAGTTGAAAAGACTTAACATGAAAGACTCTTTTTTCCAGAAAATGGAAGGTTTATTGAGGAGAACTTTTAGGCCCATTAGTAAAGGTTTAGTTAGAAGATCAGAAGGAGAGATTGAAATACAGAAATGTTTTCTTAGCCACCTCTTTGATCTCCTGGAAATACTTGACATGAGGATACAGTGGATTGCTGAACTCCATTCAGAGTCAATCTTATTTATCATCTATATAAGTGACTCTTTATGATCAAAGATACAAACAAAAAGTTCTCTCCCACTAGACTAGGAGCTCCTCTAGTACTTGGAACTGTATCCTTTAGAAACCATGTCCTCTAGTACTTGAAACCATTTCTTATTCATTTTCATCTCCCTTTTGTCTAGAACTGGGTTTATCACATATAGGTGCTTATTAAATAATTATTCAAATGAATGGACTATTAAAGAGCAGGCATAATGTGATAAGGCATCCAGAAGAATGGCACATTTGAGACAGGACTGACCATACTGAAGACCAAAATGAATGTATTCAACAAATGTGGGTTTGTGTGGTTACAGAAAGGGCAGAGAATCATCCACAATAGCACAGGGTTTCAGAAAGCGCATCAGTGCTAGACACCAGCACATAGAAGTGTTCTAGGAGGTGTCATTGGGAAGAGATGACAGAGCCTGGTTTAAAGGTAAAGCAAAGTGGCAAAGAGAGCCCTCAAAGATGGGGCTGAAGAAGTCTCTCACTGTGACTTGGATCTAGGGAGTTTGGAAGGAAATTTTGGCATCTGTTAAGGGGAGGAACTACAGATAAGTTGGTGCTGAGGGATTGGAAAAGGCAAATGTATGAAGAGATTTACTTCCTGGGCATTCACCTAGGTAAGAGGGATTGAGTCTTAATGGGTTACCACAGAACCAATGCCAATTAATCTATTGCTGGAGAAATGTTGGGGAGAGGTTAGGAGCAGAAGTAGGAACAGAGCTTCTCAGAAATTTGGTGCAACTCAAGAAACTTTTTAACTTTTGCGTTGTCTAGTCTCCAGGGGGTAGGGAGATTTCAACTCTAGTTGGAGGCCATGACAGTCTGGTTTGATATTGTTGGACATAGGGAGTGATCTCATCTTGACACTCCAGGAGTAATTAGGAAGTCTCTAGGATGTGAGTCATCACCTCTCAATTCCAACCCAAACCCCAAACCTGCACTTGTAATTTGGGTGGTAAGCAGCCAAGAATCACTTCTAGTTAAAAGCCTGTGTTCCTTACCATATGGTCCATAATACATGTAACTATGTTTTTAAACTTTATCAATTAAAAAATTGCTTTCTTTAATGACACCAATTACTAATAGAAAATTCTAATTAAATTCTGTTTACTCATTTTATGTAATCTACTATTATTTTCCAGTCAAAACCAATTGGTTGTTTTTCTTTTGTCCTTTTTTATTTAGGGTTATAACCGCCTAAATCGAATGAATCAAGCAGCAAAATATTTCCTGCTACAAGTTGTTGAAAATGGAACCTGGGTGGGGATGGTGCATTTCGATAGTACTGCCAACATCAAAAGTAAGCTAATCCAAATAATAAGCACCAACGAAAGAAATATGCTCATGAACAGCTTGCCTACAGCAGCTAGTGGGGGAACTTCCATCTGCGCTGGAATTAAAGCAGCATTTCAGGTGAAAATCATACTGCATATAGTATAGTTTGTCTTTTATCATGAAAACATTTTTCTATTAGTGCTGCTGCATATACTCACTAATTTTAACATAAATAATTCTAAGAAATACAGAACTAAGAACTTTAAAAAGTGACTTGATTTTCTAAATGGGTCAATGAATCAATAAATAAACTGATGGTTAAATATATTACTACTAGAAGCCCGGTGCATGAAATTCATGCATGGGGGAGGGTCCCTCACCCCAGCTTGCACCCCCTCCAATCTGGGACCCCTCAGGGATTGGGCCTAAACCAACAGTCAGACATCCCTCTCATAATCCAGGACTGCTGGCTCCTAACCACATACCTGCCTACCTGCCTGATTGCCCCTAACAACTCTGCCTGCCTGCCTGATTGTCCCTAACCACTCTGCCTGCATGCCTGATGCCCCTAACTGTTTCCCTGCCTGATCACCCCTAAGTGCCTCTGCCTACCTGCCAGATCATCCCTAACTGCTCCCCTGCCTGCCTGATCACCCCTAACTGCCCTCCCCTGCCAGCCTGGTCTCTCCTAACTGCCCTCCCCTGCTGGCCTGATTGCCCCTAATCACCTCTGCCTTGGCCCCGCCACCATGGCTTTGTCTGGAAAAATGTCCAGACTAATTAGCATATTACCCTTTTATTAGTATAGATAAGAATGTCACTAGAATATAAGTCCAATAAAGTCAGAAACTTTATGGTTTGTTTATATGTTCTTTTACCTTGCAATAGTCAGTGCTCAACAAATGTTAATTAAATAAATGAGTGATTGAGCATCAAAGTCATCAACTTTTAAGGCAATGAAACAAGTTAAATGGTGTGATTCTACTTTAGGCCAATCGTCATTGCAGTCTCTGTGACACTCAGATAATCTGATGTTTATCTACTAAACAGATGTAGCAAGGACTGTTAGTCATGGGGTAAAACTCATGGTGAGAACATGAGTTTTAACATCAAAGTACTGACTGCTGTTTACCAGTTTTGTGGTCTTAGGCAACATTTTCAGTATCTTTGACTTTCAATGCCTTATCGACAAATATAGGCAAATAAGAATGTCTACTTCATAGGATTATCATGATAATTAAGTGCAATTATATATTTACATACATAGAATAATATTTATTATATTACACAGTAAATATATAATTTACAACTATTATTATAAACCTCACTTTCTTCCAAACTGTATATTGAGCTTATAATTAATATCAAATGTGTCATTTTCCTGCTTAGAAATCTTCATGCTTCCCTCACAGTCTATAAAATTATATCTGAATTCCCCAGTCTGATGCTATTCAAAATGTCTATCACCCCCTCAGTAAAACTGCTCTCATCTCTTTCTCCAGCCTATAATTCTCAATTCTCCTTTCTGATGCCCTATGCTTTAACCCAGTGATTCCCAACCTTTTTTTTTTTTTGGCCATGTTCCACATAAGCATCTCTAAAATCCAGATTCCCCCTCCCCGCCGTGACATATAATTCTTATTATTCAAAAAGTGAACTCATATTCATGTGGAGGAAGCTTAACAGGCCATTAACTTGGTCTGAACAAGCTTCCAAAGAATACGGCATTCATGAGAGAGAAAAATAAAAGAAAGAAAGGACAGCTGAAGTACTAAGGAAGAAGTCACTAGGAAATTGTTAAAAAGAATAATAATAATAATAATAATATGAAGTGATATGAAAAGATAGCAAATAAAGTCTCAAAACATATAATAGAGTACTGAAATGCATAAATATCTCACAATATGTATTTACATACTGTGTATGATGCCCTACAACCAAAAAATTCACTGTTAATAACTTAGTCTCAAATTGCCCCCTTCAAAATCAAATTACCCCCTTGTGAGACATGTGCCCCATGTTGGGAACCACTGCTCTAACCCAATTATTGCACACATTGTTCTCCAAGCCCACCATGTACTAACAGCCTCTTTCCTTTGCCCAGGCAATTCCTCTATTTAAAATGTTCCCTTCTTTTCATTTTTGCATGTTAAGATTCTACCAATTCTTGAAAATTCTTGCTCCTTCATGTAGCACTTCCTGCTATTCTCAACCCTATTAAATCTCTCATTTATAATTAGCATGGCATTTTAGTGTAGCTTTCTAGCATGAAGTCCTACTTAAAACTAATTATCATTACTAGTTGTAACACTAAGCATGATTCTTCATCTCTATAGTCACCAATTACCTCATTAGTAATAAATATATGTTTATAATGGAGTAATAAATATATGTTTGTTCGTGTTTTAGTTTATTTAAGATACTAGAGGTCTGGTGCACAACATTCGTGCACTGGGTGGGGGGGTTCTCTCAGCCCAGCCTGCACCCTCTTGCAGGGAGTGGGCCTAAGCCGCAGTCAGACATCCCCTGAGGGGTCCTTAGTGCTGCCACAGAGGCGGGAGAGGCTCCCGCCACCACTGGTGCCCTTGCTAGCATGAACCTGTCTTCTGGCTGAGCAGCGCTCCTCCTGATGGAGCACACTGACCACCAGGGGGAGGCTCCTGCATTGAGAATCTGCCCCCTGGTGGTCAGTGTTCATCATAGCAACTGTTCATTCCACCATTCAGTTGATTTGCATTATATAGGATATTTATTATATTAAGTAGAAGGTAAACATTAATATCTTATAATTTATTCAAAGCTTCCTTGTTATTATGGCTCATGCAGTTTCAGCAGGGAACCGATAGTACATAGGTAGATAAATAAATAAAAAAAAAACTATAGATTGTGAAGATAGTATTGTGAAGAAACCAAACAAGGTGATGTGACAGACTAACTAGGAAAGGAAGGGCAGTGCCTACTTTAGGTGAAGAGGCCACTGAGACTCTCTCTGGAGAGTAACATTTAAGCTATGACTTGAAGGATGAGAAAGCCAATGTTTCAGGCAGAAAGGAAAGTACAAAATCCCTTAAGAAAGAGGTGGAAAATAACTGGTTTATTCTAAAAATTGATAGAGCAGGTGGCACTGGTGTTTGATAAATGAGGGCGGGTGAAATGTAGTTGGCAGGTAGATAATGGCTAGATCTTTCACAGCTTAAAAAAATAAGTTTTATTTTATTTTAAGCACCACAGAAGGGTTTTAAGCATCAGAAATAGATCATTGCCCCAGCCAGTTTTACTCAATGGATAGAGTGTTGGCCTGCACACTGAAGGATCTCAGGTTCAATTCTGATCAAAGGACATGCCTGGGTTGCAGGCTTGACCCATAGTAGGGGGCCCGCAGGAGGTAGCCAATCAATGATTCTCTCTCATCATATTTCTAATTCTCTCTCCCTCTGCCTACCTCTCTGAAATTAAAAAAAAAAATTTAAGTGGTGATCAGTAATGATTTAGGAAGATGATTCTGGTTGCACTGTATAAAATGAACTGTGGAGAGTAAGAGCAATAGTCAGGTAGTGGTCTAGCAACAGACTGGAAGCTTGGACTTGGATTGAATTATACATTATATAAAATACATTTAACACTTAGCAAATGTTCCAGGAAATGTAGCACTATAATACTGTGTTTTTCTATTGAACTACAGAATATATTAATTGTGTCTTCATCAATCATCTCTTATCTCCTTAGTCACTCACCTATACCTCAATACATATTTTTTTAATTTAATTCCATTCTTTCCAGGAATGCAGGAACCATGTAGTTCCTGTTGAATCTCCAGCAGCCAGGACAGTGACTAACATATATTAAATACTCAGTGAATAACTAATACAAGAAAGGGAGAGGTGAACAAAAGAGAAATCTATTTCATCTTTGGATATTTGTTTTTCAATGAAATGTGTAGGGGGGAAGTGATGGGGGTGCTATATAAATATTATAAATGTATAAAAACATTTCCTACTTTCCAGTTTGTTTTTAGTGCATGTCAGAGCATATTTCCCCAAAAAATGCCATATATATGTGTGTGTGTGTGTCATTATTTGCCTCAAAACATGCAAAAATTTAAACGAGGATGTTCATATTGTTCCCCGACCCCAAGTTTATTAGGGATTTCTACATTGCAAACCCTTTTCTGCAAATCTCCATTCCAAGTCCATGAAAGCCACTGATAAATAAGTCATATTTACCTTTTGGCCTGTTTCTCAAAATGGTGCACCAAGAAGCCACTGTCAATTAAACCTGTCAGAGAAGATGAAATGTAGTTGCTATCCTGTGACAAATTCTCTTCATCTTTTTCTACAGGAGCCTAGACTCAGAAATCTGAGTGTAAACTGATTGGCTCCATAGCAGTGGTTCTCAACCTTCTGGCCCTTTAAATACAGTTCCTCATGTTGTGACCCAACCATAAAATTATTTTCATTGCTACTTCATAACGTGAATGTTGCTACTGCTATGAATCGTAATGTAAACATCTCATATGCAGGATGGTCTTAGGCGACCCCTGTGAAAGGGTCGTTTGACCGCCAAAGGGGTCGGGACCCACAGGTTGAGAACTGCTGCTCTATAGGAAAGGGGTTCAAGCTACCAATAGAATTCCATCTCAAGAAACATAATTCATGTAATCTCGGAGCACCATCGATATACTTAGTTTTGTGCTTGTTAGATTTAGAAGTAAAATAAAAGTTAGATAACAAGAACCCGAATCTTGACCTGCTTAGAACTTCCTATACTCTTTTTCTATAAGTATACTGAGGGTTTCCTAATTTGCAATCAAAATTTGTTTTTTTAATGTTGAAGTGGTTTCTTAATGCATTTAGCTGTCTATGCAACAGATTTTATACACTGAAGCCTTGTCAGAGGAAAGTCTGGTCAAAGAAAGAAAAGAAATATTTAATGCCACACTCTGCAATTATATTTTTGGTATCTGGTTGCCCTGACTTCCCAGGCTGA